ACCTCCACAAAAGAATGGAGTCCTACTAACACTCTGATTTTAGCCGACTGAGACCCATTCCAGACTTCTGACTTCCAGAATTTTAAAATAATAAATGAGTTGTTTGAAACCACTGTAATCTGTGATAATCTGTGTCAGCAGCAGTAAGAAACTAATATAATCTAGATTAAGGCTAATGTTTACTCAATATATTAAAGAAAAACTATGCCACACCAAGTTGGACACAAATATTCCAATCATCATTTGGTGTTGGGATGTCATTGCCTCAAAACACTATATACATATAGGAGTTTCCTCTGTCTGCTCTAACAAACTACTACAAACTGAGTGGCTTAAAACAGCAGAAATTTATTCTCCCACAGTTCTGGAAATCAGAAGTCTAAGAACAAGTTTTCAGCAGAGTCTAACACCTGCTGAAGGCCAGCAATCAAAGAATTCCTTGCTTGCTGGCTCCTGTAGCTTCCAGAGACCCTGGCGACTTTTAGTGTTTATTGATCTATGGCTACAATACTTCAATGTTTCCCTCACTTCATATCACCTTCTCCTCTGTATATATTTACTGTCTGTGCCAAATTTCTCTGTGCCTCTAGGAACACTTGTGATTAAATTTAGGGCGCACTTGCATCCAGGTAATTACCAGGATTATCTTGCCTTCTTTTCCTCTCTCCTTAACTGTCCACTCTCCTTGAGAGACACCCCTCTCAAGATCCTTCACTTAATATGCTTTGGCCATGAAAAGCCATACTCAGGGTTCCAGGAGTTACAATGTGAACAAGTCATTTTGGGGGCCACCATTCAACTCACTACAACTTACATCCATCAATCCACTCAGTCAAGCAATATTTACTGACATCCCTTTATACCCAGCTCTGTGACAGGTAAACAATGAAGATATATAGAAGGAATCTCTGTCCTAAAGATCATAACCCAGTAGTGGGGAAACATAAAAGCCTAGCAGAGAGAGTTCCATAGGCGCACATACAAGGAACAGCTAACCCAGATCAGAAAAAGAAGTGTCAGGGAAAAGTTACTCACAGAAAAACCAGTCCTTTATCTGCTCTTCTGGGAACACTATTAGAATTATGAGTTCCTGGCATCAACAAAAGCAGCCAGAAATGGCTATAATCTAAACATCAATATTTAACCTGTTAACAATATGCTAACACAAATAAGGATTCTAGCTCAGTACATGCAAATGCTATACTATTTCCGAGAAATGACAAGTAAATGAAAGAACTTCTCAAGAAAAAAAAAAAAAACCTAATTAAAAATAGGATGAAAAATAGAGGAATACTTAAATAGCAGCAGAAGAAAACTGATCAGTGAGGATGGGGAAAGATAGGGCAAACATTCAGTATTCTTTACCAGAGGCAATAATGGTTAAAAAGTTTCTGAAATTCTTTAATCTCGACTACCTACTTTGTTAAATGACCAACATTTTCCTGTACCAGAAATAAGATTTTAAGAGAGATTTTTAACCTCAGTTACAGAATTAAAAACTAATCAAAATCTCCTTATTGGATACAAGTTCAGTTCAGTTCAGTCGTCGCTCAGTCATGTCTGACTCTTTGCGACCTCTTGGACTACAGCATGCTAAAGCGTCCCTGTCCATCACCAACTCTCAAAGCTTGCTCAAACTCATGGATACAAAGACCTCAGCATAAAACAGCAATTCATACCATTAAGTCCTATGATGTCTCTTTATAAAAGCTGTCAACCTCCGAAAGTTAAAATTTACAGAAGTTTTCGTTTATTTAACATTAAATGTTAAGACTTTAAAAAATGAAAAGTCTACACATTCTCCTTCAATTTTTTTCAACTCTTTTTTCAATTTCCTGTTTAGTATCGACCATGCATCATAGTCCTCATGCCAACAACATGTTTTCAAAAGTATTCTTTTTCACTTATGTCCCATTAAGACTTTCTATACATAAATTCTTTAAACTCAAAGGAGAAGCAGCAGTGGCTCCCAGTGGCCAATTTTATGACAGGGATATTTTCCTATCACAGTTTTTATATTTTCACATATGGTTTCTAAAGTTGCAAGAACTTCATAGAAGTTACAGTATTAGAAAAAATAGATTAACAAAAGGAAGTTTAATTAGCTTTAACCCTGTACTTTTCTACTTGACAGCAATAAGAATATTATAATGTATGCTTTTTAGACAACTAAGAAATGCTTTAAAACATATAACACATTACTTAAATTACATGCTTTTGCATTTCCAGTATCTCTGGAGTCACTTACTGACTCACCCAAACAGTCACTATTATAGCAGTCAAGTAGCAAGGCATTATCACACAACAAAGCATGTCACCTACCTATTTGTTTGATCAGATTAAGATGGCTAAAACCTGAACTAAATCCCCTAGAACATTTCACCTCAAGTAAGTAACTGAAACAGAAGTGACATCCTAGATTTTTCACCATGATATGTGGTAGACAGAAATCTAAAGACATCACCCCAAAGTTTCTGTCCCTGGGTTTGATTGATTGGTAATTCAACCAAACTCTAATCCAAGTATTGCTGTGAAGGGATTTTACAGATGGAATTAGGTTACTTATCAGTTGATCTTAAAATAAAGAACTACCCTGGACTACTGCAGTGAGCCAAGGAATCAAATGATCCCTTAACAGCAGCGGACGGCAGAAAAGTCAAATCAGAACTATAAGAGAACAGAGAGGTCAGAGAGACTCAAAGCATATGAAAAGACTTGATCTGCCACTGCTGCTTGTGAAGACAGAAAGAAAACCAGAAGCCAAAGAATGAGGGCAGCCTGTAGACACTGAAAACAACCTATGGCGACAGCCAGTAAAGCAACAAGAGACCTCAGTCCTACAACTGAATGCAACTGAATTTGGCCAATGACCTGGATGCAGATTCATGCCGTTTCCAGAAAAGAAGAGAGCCCTGCTAACATCTGAGCTATAAAGTACCAAGCTCTGCCCAAGACATCTGACCACAGAAACTATGAGATAATAAATGTGTGTTGTTTTAAGCCATTAAGTTTGTGATAATTTGTTACAGCAAAAATTTTTTTAAAATACTGATTTTGGTACCAAGTAGAATGCTGCTATAATACCTGTAAGTGTGGGCATACTGTTAGAATAGGGCAGTGGGTAGAGGCTGGAAGAAATTTGAGGAACATGATAGAAACAGCACTGAACAAACCAGTAGCAGAAATCTATACTTTAAAGAACATTGCCACTGATGGCTCACACACTGCTTGAAGAAATCAAGATCTGGAGGATAAAAAGATCTGTTTGGCATTGGGTATTATTTTTGTCACCCATTTTGCCTTTAAACAGGAGTGTTTAGCACAGTTCGTTTATATAATTGTCTATTCATTTAAATCTACTGTCTTGCTATTGCTTCTCTCATTTCATCTGCTTTTGTTGTCACTTCTCTTTTCCTCCTTTCCTGTCCTGTTTTATGTCTAAGCCACCATCATCTCTCACCTGGGTTAAGGTAGTAGCCAACTATCTGATCTCCTTGCTTCCACCCTGCCCCTTACTCCAAAGTCTATTCACATCACAGGGGCAATCTCATCCTATTTTTTTCTACCTTTTTTGGGTAAAGACCAAGTGCTCTTAATACAATAACCCCCATTCCCTCTCTGGCCTCATCTCCTATTATTCACCCCTTCCCTCACTCCATTTCACACTAACTTTTTTACATGTTAGTCCAACTTCTTCAAACACTCCAGACACAATCCCACCTCAGTGCCTCTGTACTTGCTTCTTCCTCTGTTTAGAAAGCTTTCCCTCAACATTTTTGAGCAAATGTTAGTTTTCCATAACTATCTGTGGTAAGCAGAATAAACGCCCTCCCACCCCAGATATCTGTGTCCTTAACCCTGAAACCTAGGAATCTCACATTATATGGTAAAGGAGAATTAAGACTGCAGATGTTAATATTACTAATCAGATGACAATAAAATAAGGAGATTATCCTGACTATCCAGAAGGGCTGGAAGCATTCACCATGGTCCTTAAAAGAGAAAAAGCAAGACTTGACATGAAGCAGAATGATCAGAAAGATACAATGCTGCTGGTTTTAAAGATGGAGGAAGAGGACCAGAAAGAAATGCGGACAGCCTCTAGAAGATGGAAAAGGCAGAAAACGGATTCTTCCCCAGAGCCTCCATAAATTAACATGGACTACCAAGGCCTTGATTTTAGCCCATTGAGACCCATTTCAGATTTCTCACCTCCAGAACTGTAAAAATAACACACTGAATTGTTTAAATCACTTTTAAGTTTATGGTAATATGTTATGGCAGCAAAAGAAAACTAATACACTTACCTTAGTTATATAAGCCCTTATTTCCTACTTCCCTTTGCTGCTTAATTTTCCTCCACAAAATATATTACCTTCTAACAAATTATTTACTTTACTTATAAATGTAAATTTCATAAGAAAATGTAAGCTCCATAAAGGCAAAGATTATCTATTTTTTCCAGTTTCCCAGGGCCTGGTACATGGTTATGCCAAGTATTTGCTGAATGAACATTTGATAGATTATAAATACACAAATATGTTGGAAAAGCTGTGCTTATGATGATGCTAACAGTGACAGAAATACCATTAATCTTAAAGAAAAACGAGATATAATCAATGGCTGTTTGTAGTCAATGACATTCAGATTTACATCTATGCATTAATATCTCTCAAAACATCTTTATTATTCAGTCTCTGCATTCCTCTTCTTCTCAATTGCAACTTTTTTTAAAAATTACAGTTATAACAATTCAGGAGACACAAATATATAATTTTTTAAATTCTTAATGCTTTTCAGTAGAATATCATAACCTTATCTGTAAGTTCAGAAAAGAACCAATATAAAAATATTTCCTTCCTAAAGAAAGTTACTGACATTCGAGAAAGTCTCCAAGTTTGAAAAATAAAAGACAAAATTTTGGCAATTACCAACAAAGGTCTTACTGTCTTCATTCAAAGAGTAAAAAACTGTCACTGGTATTGAAAGGCATTGCTTACCTGTTCCAGGAGTAGTTGTTACAACTCCAGCAAGAGGACTCTGCATTACTGAAATGTTTGCCTATGCAAAAACAGAAGAAAGTGTTCAGGTCAAATGCAAAGTTCTAACCATAAAATAACCACAATATATGTTGAAGAACTTCATTCAACAGACAACTGAATGTCTACCAGGTACTGGAAATGCCCTTTATAAGCTCACAATTGAAGAGTACTTTCTAAGTTTGCTTGTTTTGTTGTGTTTGTTTTTTTTTTTTAAGTTGAATACTACTAATCTAAAAAGGCAGACTTGTTAGCATATTATAATGTTTAAAATAAGAAAAGCTGCACTAGGTAAAAAGACACTATTTTTATTAACACTGCTATTTGTTTTTAGTACCTAAACTACAGTATTTGAAACAAAAGATATAATGGTGATTCTTCAAATCTTCAAAGTTCACACTGAAAAACAGGAAGTTGGCAAAATTGTATTTCTATATTGACATTTACAAACCATGAAACAGTACAGATTCAAATCAGTCTACACAGTAAACAACAGCATATCTCTGCCTCTACCAGTAAAAAGTAACAAAAACTAGTTCCTTTAAATCTGAGAAAAAGATTCAAGTAGCTAAAAAATCTTTTTTTTCCCCAATTATTTTTATTAGTTGGAGGCTAATTACTCAAGTAGTTAAAAAATCTTTCTATAAACAAAATAGAAAACAATAATAGCTAATCAAGAATGAGAAAGACTCTTTCTCTAGAAGTAAACAGAGAAATTTTTAACAATTTCTGATTAAATTAAGAAAACCTAAAATCTGGTTATTACCCAGCAACCAGATCAAATGTCAAGAGATTATTAAAGGGGGATACAAATTCACTGTTCAATTCTTAATGGGAACTTATGAGTAGAGAGAGGCTGACCAAAGTCTCAGGCGGTAAAACTAATTTGGACTTTAATAATATTCTTAGCAACTTTCAAGTCAAAAGCTTTCTCTACAAATTATGGCTCACAAGATTTTTAAACATTTGAACATAGCAGTAACTATAAACTCCCTTTCTTTTCAGGTATTATCAGAGGAGTAATGAAAGGTGGCATAAACTTACATGCCAGAGGTCCTCATACCAAATTAAACATCAGATTTACCTATCAACCTTTAGAAAAATACAACAGGATATTCTGGACTTAGTTAAGTTTATCACAATACTGTCCAAACATAACACAAGCCACTCAAAATTGTTTTAGAGTAGGCATGTATATCCGTCAGGGAAATTATAAATAAAATGGAGGGAGTCTTGTTCAGACTTCAGAAGCAGTCAGAAGCAGAAGAGCAGGCCTCTGACTGATTTCTGACCATGCCAAATTATGTGCTTGCCATGCAAACACACCAACTGTTACCAGCAAATCAAGGGGCACTTTAGATAAGAAAGGGAGTGGTTTTTGTAATTTTTGAGCCCCTGGAGGCCTGGCCAGCCTCCCAAGGTCTAAGAAGTCTTATGACTCACAAGGTAAAAGAAACAGCAATGTAAAACTTAAAAACCAGAGCTGCATTTTCGCACACAAACTGATGATGGTATTATTTTGCAGCTTGGAACTATAAGCAGGAGTCCCCCAATCCTCTCCCATGGAGTAGACACACTGCCCAGGACTCTTTTCCCTAAGAGGGACTCCAGACTGCTGTTACTCTGGACTTCCCAGCACTATTCAAGCCTGGATGTAGGTTTCGACCCAATTTGGTGATGTGTATGCAGTTACTTTTCTCTATTGTTTCTATTTCTTTTCTCTTAGTGGCAGTATATTGAAATTAATAAAATAAGCCTTAATATTATTAAGTATCGAAACTCTTTATTGTGTGTGTGATGAGTGGCTTCTTTTGTTAACCAATCCTTCTAACCTAAAATGAAGGATTTAAAACTTTCCACAAAACAACATCTCAGTTAACTATAGGACTAGCCACATTTCAAGTGTCAACAGCCACACTGGGCTAGTAGCTACTAAACTGGACGGGAGGGCAGGTGCACAAGTGTTGGTAAGAGAAGGATTCTGTTTGACACAATGAATTGATTTTGCCTTGCTTGACAAACAAGCCCAGAAGGCCAGGTCTATCAAGCCTACAATCAAAATTTTCTGAAAGATTTTTCTACTTTTCTTAAACTTGCCAATAAATATACTATATTAGATTTAAAGAAAGGCCTTTAATATTCCTCCAAATCAAACAGCAGAAGTATCTTTATACAACAAACTTAGCAGTTTAGCTGAAACACTTTGTTTCTATATCCTACTAAGCGTAACAGTAATAGTAGAGAAAACTTGTGACTATAAAAGCTCCTAAACTTGCCACTTAAAAAGAAAAATCCATACTACCTTTCAACTGACAATCAAGACTAATCATAGTAGAATTAGCACAACACTGTTCTTATAAACACTGGCTCTAGAGTCAATATTCCCTGGGTTTAAAATCTGGCTCAACTAGACTAGCTGCCTTGGGCTTTTGGTGTCCTAGTTTCCTCAGTGATAAGACAAAGCTCCTAAGAGATTCATTCATCCCAGAGTCACTGTGAGCATTAAATGAAATAATACATGAGATCAGGGCATGGACACTACAGGCACTTCATAAGTATTGGACACTTTTTTGTGCTATCAGTCCCATCAGAACAGAGAATCTCTACCTTGCAATCCATAACCAAAAGTAACACTAGCAGGACACCTACACCCACACCAGCCAAGATTTAGCGTCACCAGCAGAACATCTACACCAGGAACGTACTAAGCCATCACTCATTAAACACGCAGAAGGAAGCATTTTTAGTAAAATAAGTAAACAGTAAACAGCTCTAAAAGGGCATTGGTCTTATACTAATAAAACCATCCCTAAAAATAATCATCTCAAATCATCACAAGGTACCTGAGATCTGGATAAAACCCTGGATCTTCATTTGTTCTGTCACAAAACTATGTATATTGAACTTTTAAACAATCACTGACTTAAACAATAATCATTTCTACATGTTTATTAAAGAGGCTGAGGGTATGGACAGGTGTAATAAGTACCTCTTTAAAAATCACTGAATTACCTACACAAGGAAATTACCTGAATTCTATTACATTTTTAAGCACATTTCATAATAAGCACAATTTAAGTAGACTCTATGGAAACTGTCCCTAATGCTTATTTCTATGCAACAGAGTTATACTAAAATAGACTTCAGGGAAACATTTCAAATTTCTGACCCTCACTGTATAACCACATGAAAACATGAAATGAGTACGTATGGTCATAAATGAGGATATGTCTATCACCTGTCTTCTTGAAGTTAAAGGTGTTGATCCAAGTCCTGGGCTGGAAATGTCATCATAAATACTTCTAACTGGCGGAGCTCCACTTTTATCTTTATGAGCTGGTACAACAGGCTGTGGTGGTGATCCACCTAACAGTGTACAAAAGACACAGTCAGGTAAGAAAACAAAGAAATCTTCCACCTATCTGGTAAGATCCTTTAATATTTTTAAAATAATGGCTTAAACTCCTGTCTCCCAATGTTTCTCAAACCTTAATACACAGAGTCACTTGGGCATCTCGTTAAAATTCAGGTTCTGTCTCAGACCGTGTGGAATGGAGCCTGAGATTATGAATTTTTAATAAGTTGCCAGTGATACCAGTGTTGGTGATCCATAGAGTGCCCTTCCAGAACAAAGCTTCCAGAACAAGGACTATATAGAAATTTTAGTTTTTAGTGAATGCATACAAGTTTTGTTTTCTCTACAAAATGCTTAAAAATTCAATATCAAATGTAATCCTATTTCTCACTAGAAATAGAATTTTAAACAGCTCCAGTATGTATATACTTGAAAAAATATAATATTTTAATGTGGAATTTGACAGTCAAATTCCCATGTTTCTCACAGTAAAAATTTATTAAAGTACATAATAAACATACAGGAAAAGGACCAACTTTGGGGTATACAAAGAGGCCTTCTTAAGTCAGAGAATCATCAATGCCAACTAGTAGAGCAGCCCACACCTTCTGTAAGACTAATGTCTGAGTCAAGACAGTACAGCGAAAGCCATTCACACTGGAGCACAGGCTACAGAACAAGCCCGGCCCAGCCTTTAATCACCTGTGGTCGCTGACCGGTGAGCTCCAACAAAGTTCTACACTGCGCCTAGCCTCAGTTCACTCCTCTAAGAGAGAAACATGACCAGCTACTCTTTAAGATCGACAAAAGAATAGGATCACATACGAATGCTTAGGATACTTCCTGGCTCATAAATACTTAATATGTGGTAGCTACAACAATAAAATAATACACTTGAAATATGTAAAAATAAATAATCTGTCTAAGATAATGTTTCTAACTGAATCACTTCAGTTATAACTTATGATAATTCTCCCTGATAAATCTTTTTTGAAAAAATTATAAACCACTTTAACACAAATAACACCTCACAGGCATGCATACTAAGTTCTTCAGTCATGTCCAACTCGTTGCCACCCCATGGACTGTAGCCCACCAGGCTCCTCTGTCCATGGGATTCTCCAGGCAAGAATACTGCAGTGGGTTGCCATGCCCTCCTCCAGGGGATCTTCCCGACCCAGGGATCAAACCCAAGTCTCTTATATCTCCTGCATTGGCAGGTGGGTTCTTTACCACTAGCGCCAATTGGGAAGCCCAATAATACTTTACGACAATTAAAGAAAGAAGAATTTCCATTTAAACATCTATTAAAACACTTATTAGCTCATATTTGGAATTCAACCATTTCTGTAGCTCTCAATACTCGTGGTCAAAACTTCCAAATTATCTTTTAAAATATTTGTTTGCCAAGAGTCTGTATTAGATGTTTCATTTACATAACAATATTTTGTGCTGGCAACTGCAAGGCACAGTTTGTGGAGTAAGTCCTTTCACTAAACACAGTGAGTGAGAATCTTAACTCATTAAGACTAGAAGTCAAATTCATATCTACAAATTTACAAATAATACTTCTTTTAACTGAATATTTGCTGTTATTATATTAAGACGAATTTTTTAAACTGAAGCCAGCTGAAGTTGAAAGACCGTATTCCCCTCTCCCCACCCAAACACACTTAACATCTCTGAAATAGGAATAATTTACAAAAAATGGCAAATGGTGTATCATATTTAGTGTTTTTCTCTCCTAGTGGTGCTTAATGATGAGTTTTACAATCAACGCTAGATTGAATAAAATGCAGTATGCATATTTTTAGGGAGTGATTGTTAGAATTAAAGTAAATTACATTGCTTACACCTGTTTCAATAATTTTAGTTGATGAAGGTGAAAGCTGCATCACTACTCTTTTTAAAATTCTAGTACATGTACTGATAGTACTTAAAACTACACTAAGCAACTTACCTTTGTTGTTGTCAAGTTACTAAGTCATGTCCCAACTCTTTTGAGACCCCATGGACTGCAGGCTGCCAGACTCCTCTGTCCATGGGATTTCCGAGGCAAGAATACTGGACTGGGTTGCCACTTCCTTCTCCAGGGGATCTTCCCAACCCAGAGATCCAACCCGCATCTCCTACACTGGCAGGGAGTTTCTTCATAGCTGAGCCACCAGGGAAGCCCAAGCATTTACCTACCTGCAAGTAAAGGTGATCTCATTTCCATTACTCCTATGGAAGGGCCACTAATCGATCGAGGCTGTGGAGTCACTGGAGCTGGCAAATCCCCCATTAAAAATCCAGGTAAGAATTGGGCATTAACCCCTGGCTTTGGAGACGTGGGTGAACCCAGCATCATTGGTTCAGATCCTAAATGAATCAGAAAATAAAATACAGAGAAAGGACTTCAATGTAATGATAGGTAACAAAAAGATACAAGGACCAGTATACACAATTTTTAGAATTTAATAAAAATTGTTAAATATTACAGAACCACAGTTAAATTATTTTAAAAACCATAAAATTTTTCCAGAAAAATATGAAAATATTTGGCATTAACAAAATAATATTTGACAGCTGTTTACATTATTTCATAGATTTAAGAACCAACAATTATTTTTAAATTTTAGCTTATTGACTAAAAAAAAAAAATCCCTAATACATACAGAACAACTTCTTTCCATTTTTGGCAGTTTCTACTATGTAACAACCAAAAAGAAGGACAGGATGAACTAGCAACATAAAGTCCAAGCAAATTAGACACAACAGGTTTAGCTGCATGTCCCATTTTTCTTTCCCCATACACAAAAACCGTGTCATTTCTGTAATAAAAGTGTAATTATGCACACATTAAAGCACATATTAAATAACAGTGATGACAGCATACCAACTAAGAAATATGCTTTGGGTAATTTTTAAAACCATTCATTTTAAAGTTAGGAATAATCAATAAGTCTCCCTAACAGAAAACCAATTAAGAGGAGAACTCATACTTCATGATGATCCATTCAAAACTATTTTTCACAAGTTATAGGATAGGTAATATTATTATTCCAACTATGAAAATAAGGAAGCTATTCAGTTCAGTTCAGTTCAGTTCAGTCACTCAGTCGTGTCTGACTCTTTGCGACCCCATGAAGTGCAGCACGCCAGGCCTCCCTGTCCATCACCAACTCCCAGAGTTTACTCAAACTCATGTCCATTGAGTCAGTGATGCCATCCAACCATCTTATCCTCTGTCGTTGCCTTTTCCTCCTGCCCCTAATCCATCCCAGCATCAGGGTCTTTTCCAATGAGTCAACTATTTGCATGAGGTGGCCAAAGTATTGGGGTTTCAGCTTCAGCATCAGTCCTTCCAATGAACACTCAGGACTGATCTCCTTTAGGACGGACTGGTTGGATCTCCTTGCAGTCCAAGGGACTCTCAAGAGTCTTCTCCAACACCATAGTTCAAAAGCATCAATTTTTCGGCGCTCAGCTTTCCTCACAGTCCAACTCTCACATCCATACATGACCACTGGAAAAACCATAGCCTTGACCAGATGGACCTTTGTTGGCAAAGTAATGTCTCTACTTTTTAATATGCTGTCTAGGTTGGTTATAACCTTCCTTCCAAGGAGTAAGCATCTTTTAATTTCATGGCTGCAATCACCATCTGCAGTGATCTGGAGCCCAAAAAAGGAAGCTATAACTTCTCCTAATTTCAAAACAAAATAGCACAGTAAGGAAAACATGAGCTCTGGAGTCAAGAGACCTGGTTTCAAGTCTTTCAGAAAGATGGACATAATCACAGCACTCAGCTTTGATTAGAAAGATAGCTAATAAAGCACTTAACTCAAGTGCCTAATATACAATCAGTACTCACAAGTGTTATTATTATTATTCTAATAGTACCTTACAATAGCCAAAACTCACTACTGTGTACATGTAGAATTTGCAATTTCTGCTTATGAAAATTTAATTTTTCAATTATCTAACAAGGCTGATTTGTGATTTATAGCACTCAGAAAGTTCAAACACTTGATACTTTATACGACCTTTATTAACTACACTGGTTGGTGATGGACAGGGAGGCCTGGAGTGCTGCAATTCATGGGGTCACAAAGAGTCAGACACGACTGAGCGACTGAACTGAACTTTTAACAGCCTCAAAATTGTGTTCAGTGCTATCCAAATGCTGTCAGTATTTATTCTTCCTCTTATTTCTCATTATGGCAGACCTTGATAGTAACAATGCAAGCACATGAAAAAGGAAAAGAAAGCAAATACTGAAACAGGTGTGAAGAGCTACATTACATTGTAGTCACTTCAAAGTGCTAGTTACCATGTTACCACAGTACTACTACATATTTCCAAAGAACAGAACACTAAAATCAAATCAAAAGTCTAAACAAAAGCATATTATGAACATATATTTATAAACCCAAAGTACAAAGTTTTAGGTACCATCTGCCAGCCCCAAAAGGAAAAAAAAAAAAACATATATGGGCTTCCTAGGTGGCAAAGTGGTAAAGAATCACCTGCCAATGCAGGAGACACAGGAAATGGTGACCCACTCCAGGATTCTTGCCTGGGAAATCCCATGGATAGAAGAACCTTCCATGGGGTCAAAAAAGAGTCAGGCATGACTTAGCAACTAAACAACAATAACAGCAAGTATAGTAAAAATTAAGTCAAAAAAATTTTGGTTCATCTAAATACATATTGTGATACAAGAGAAATAACCAGAGTGAGGAGGGCCAAAGGACTCTTAACTAAACTGTCACTAACCACCAGGCCCTCAGACTAATGTTCCTTAGAGTTATACTGGTGGATCCTCAAGCCTTAAATTTCCATTTCCGAGTCTCTACTCCTAAAATGTTAAGTGGTGTGTCTTACTCAGCTAGCATTGTTCGCTGAAGTAACCATTAGCTTTAGTGTTCCATTAAGTGCTAGGAATGCTCAACTACTGCACAACTGCACTCATCTCACACGCTAGCAAAGTAATGCTCAAAAGTCTCCAAGCCAGGCTTCAACAGTACATGAACCGTGAACTTCCAGATCTTCAAGCTGGATTTAGAAAAGGCAGAGGAACCAGAGATCAAATTGCCAACATCCGTTTGATTATCGAAAAAGCAAGAGAGTTCCAGAAAAACATCTACTTCTGCTTTACTGGCTACGCCAAAGTCTTTGTGTGAATCACAACTGTGGAAAATTCTTAGAGACGGGACTACCAGACCACCTGACCTGCCTCCTGAGAAATCTGTATGCAGGTCAGGAAACAGTTAGACCTGGACATGGAAAAACAGACTGTACCAAATTGGGAAAGGAGTATGTCAAGGCTGTATATTGTCACCCTGATTATTTAACTTATATGCAGAGTACATCATGCAAAATGCTGGGCTGGATGAAGCACAAGCTGGAATCAAGATTGCTGGGAGAAATATCAATAACCTCAGATATGCAGATGACACCACGCTTATGGTAGAAAGTGAAGAACAACTAAACAGCCTCTTGATGAAAGTGAAAAAGGAGAGTGAAAAAGTTGGCTTAAAGCTCAACATTCAGAAAACTAAAATCATGGCATCTGGCCCCATCACTTCATGGCAAATAGATGGGGAGACAGTGGAAACAGTGACAGACTTTATTTTTGGAGGGTCCAAAATCACTGCAGATGGTGACTGCAGCCATGAAATTAAGACACTTGCTTCTTGGAAGAAAAGTTATGACCAACCTAGACAGCATATTAAAAAGCAGAGACATTCCTTTGCCTACAAAGGGCCATCTAGTTAAGGCTATGGTTTTTCCAGTGGTCATGTATGGATGTGAGAGTTGGACCATAAACAAAGCTGAGCGCCAAAGAATTGATGCTTTTGAACTGTGATGTTGGAGAAGACTCTTGAGAGTCCCATGGACAGCAAGATCCAACCAGTCAATCCTAAAGGAAATCAATCCTGAATATTCATTGGAAGGACTGATGTTGAAGCTGAAACTCCAATACTTTGGCCACCTGATGCAAGGAATTGACTTATTTGAAAAGACCCTGATGCTGGGAAAGATTGAAGGCAGGAGAAGGGGACAACAGAGGATGAGATGGTTGGACAGTATCACGGACTCAATGGACATGAGTTTGAGTAAACTCCGGGAGTTGGTGATGGACAGGGAGGCCTGACATGCTGCAGTCCATGGGGTCACAAAGAGTCTGACATGACTGAGCGACTGAACTGAACTAAGGTGCTGGGAAAATGTTTATAGCTCGTCTGGAATAAGGATTTAAACAATATCAACTAATGTCAGATTTCGGACCAGGGGTTTATTCATAACTGTAACCCCAAGAAATATATACTCGACAATGCTTCTGTTAAGCAGAACACTTTCATACTGGAAATGAAAAGTTTTCTGACCTCTAAAATAATACAAGACATAAATACCTAGCCATTAGCTGAGTATCTCCCCTGATATTACACATTTAGATTTTTATAACTAATAGTAAAACAGTTCAAGTTGCTCTATTGTCAAAAGAAACTGATTTTGTACAAAACATAGCCAACATCATATATCCATCAATTCTAATAAAACTCATTCTACACAGGAATACCGTGCTTGCTCTCCTTTCCAAAGTCACAAAGTTATAATCGAATTTTCAAATACGTCTCTATGATAATAGATGGTTTATTTTCTGGGGGTTTTTTGTTTGTTTGTTTTTCTGTTTTAAGCTATTCCACGGTTCTCACAAAACCCACAACTCAACCGACAAACACACACAATAATCGACATCCAAGACTGACATGCAATATTTTTGTCAACAACATATATCAGCAATGCCCCCATTATATAACGGAAATGATTTTTTAAAATCATTCTGCTGCTGCTGCTAAGTCGCTTCAGTCGTGTCCAACTCTGTGCGACCCCATAGACGGCAGCCCACCAGGCTCCCCCGTCCCTGGGATTCTCCAGGCAAGAACACTGGAGTGGGTTGCCATTTCCTGCTCCAATGCATGGAAGTGAAAACTGAAAGTGAAGTCGCTCAGTCGTGTCCGACTCTTCACGATCCCATGGACTGCAGCCTACCAGGCTCCTCCGTCCATGGGATTTTCCAGGCAAGAGTACTGGAGTGGGTACCGTAAATGAAGAGGAATGCAATGTAGAGAAAAAGATCCTCTACAATAGAGTCATTTTCCCAAGATAAAGAAAAGGAAGCGAACTCATGGCTTCCTATTAAGGGAATATCTCAATGGCTGCCATCACCTGGTTAATTAAAGAGCGAACAACTCAAGTTTCCATTCAAAACACATTCCTTTTGCGAATCCCGGGAGGAGTTGGAATCAAGCAGTAACGAGAAGCCTAGGAGACCGAACAGCGGTGAAAGGTGACCACACTCCAGGGCACCGCCCACCCCCGTGTTCACAGGTGAGGATCTTCCCACCAACGCTTCACAGGAACCTGGAATCTTGAAGAGCGTCTGCCGCCCCGGCGGAGTCTCAGGTATGGACAGGTCTGGCTCTGGCTTGCGGGGAGGATACAAAGCGGCTTAGTCACCACAAGACCGCCGTTTCTTCGACTTCCTCGGAGCCCGCAGCGTCCCGGAGCCCTGTTAGTAGCTACAGGGTGGCGACGCCTAGAGAAAGCGGTGGACTTGGAACCTGGGGGCGTGCCAAAGGGCTAGCTCTTTGCGGCTTAATTAGCAGAGGAGACCCTACGATTACTGTCTCTCAGCGTACCCGCTTCCAAGCTTACAGTGTGCGTCGCAGTGCTAGCGGAGGGAAAGCAGTTTTTTACTCACCCAACGTGGGCGCCTGAGGTTCCACGGCAAAGGCTGCCATCACAGCAGCAGCGGCACTCACCTCCGGACCTTCCTGATTTTCAAAAATGGCGGAAACTCTCCCCACGGGTGTGGGCGCGCTACCTTATGGGGTTGCGCAACTTCCGGACATGCGCTGTACCTGTTGTGGCGCCGGCGCTGTCATTTTGGCATAGGGCAAGTCTGCTCAGACTACTTGTGCGGAAAGAATTTCTCTGGTAAAGTGATGAAACAACGTGCAAGTTGTGATTTCGGGACTTCATTGCTCACCTGTGAGCCTCCTGATTTGTTGGTGCTTGAGTCGTATAGGAATACAAGTTACTGTAACGCTTTCATAGTTAGCGAGTGTTTACCCAACGCTCTTTCTCAAGTACCGCCTGTAAAAGTTGCCTTTGAGAAACAGATGGTGCCGCTTTCCAGTGTCAATTTCCGGGCCTAGCTGCATGAAACCATTCTGAAAGCATATTTTCTACAATCTCGATGCCTTTTTTTTTTTTTTTTTAATTTTAGGTTATAGAGGCACAGTTTTACTTAAGTGAAAGTGAAAATCGCTCAGTCGTGTCCTACTCTTCGCGACCCGATGGACTATACAAATTCTCCAGGCCAGAATACTGGAGTGGGTAGCCTTTCCCTTCTCCAGCGGAATTTCCCAGCCCAGGAACCGAACCGGGGTCTCCTGCATTGCAGGCTGATTCTTTACCAGCTGAGCTATCAGGGAAGCCCATTTTACCTAAAGCATAACTTATACTTGCTGTTTTATTATATATTAATATAAACAAGATTAAATAATGAAGGCTAATGATACCCGTGAACTCACCACATTGCAGAATCTTGTGTGTTCCTCCCTATGCCATCCCTGCTGTCTGCCTTTCCCTACTGCGCTGCTTTTCTTTAGATATTATTTGAAGAGCGCGCACACACACACACATTGTATTTATCAATACATGTGTGTGAAAATAAGTTGTCTAGCCATTTGCAGCAACATGAATGGACCTGGAGATTATCATAGTGAGTGAAGTAAATCAGACCAAGAAAGACAAATATAATATCACTTATATGCAGAATCAAAAAAATGATACAAATGAACCCATTTACAAAACAGAAATAGAGAAAGAATTTAGGATTAACAAGGGGAGAGGATACGGAGGACAGATAAATTCGGAATTTAGGACTGACACGTCACACTGCTATTTTTAAAACAGATAACCAACAAGGACCTACTGTTTAACACAGGGACTTCTGCTCAACGCTGTAATAACCGAAATGGGAAAAGAATTTGAAAAAGAATTCATATATGTACCTGTATAACTGAATCACTTGGCTGTACATCTGAAATTAACACATTATTAATCAACTGTAGTATAAAATAAAAATTAAAAAATAAAAGAAAAAAATACGTTTAGTTTTGCTCACTTTGTTTTATTAAAATGATGTGCTACATGTGTGTATTCTGACATGCTCTGTGATCCATACCAAACTCACTATCTTCCAAATACTCACCATCCTCCCTCTTTCCTCTGGGGTTTTCCTGAAATCCCAAATCCAGCCAGGAATTTTCTAATCTGGGTGATGTAATAACAATTCCCAGCATTAAATGACAAGTTTCCAGAAATCAAAGCTTAAAATCACTTACAGGTGAAGTGACATTTTCTTAACAGATGTTATGTATGTGTTAAACTCTCTCCCCCAAGATAAATGTTAAGATCCTAACCTCCAATACATATGAATGTGACCTTATTTGGAAATACGGTCTTTGCAGATGTAATCATGTTCAGATGCAGTCATACTGAATTACTACAAACTTCGTGGCTTAAACCAACAAAATTTATATTTTATAGCTCTAGTGGCCAGAGATCCAAAATGTTTGTTATAGGATTAAAACCAAAGTGTCAACAAAACTGGTTTCTTCAAGAGGCTCCAAGGGAGAATCTGTTTCCTTGCTTTTCTAACTTCTGAAGGCTAACCATATATTATGTACTTAGCTTTTGGCCCTGTCTTCCTGCTTCAAAGCCAGTGGCGTAGCATCTTCTATCTCTGACGCTGTTTCTCTCTGCTTCTGTCGCCACATGGTCTTTTTCTTATATAGTAAAATCCCCCTCTGAGTCCATTTTGTAAGGACCTTTGTAATCACATTTAGGGCCTACTCAGACAATCCAGGATAATCTTCCCGCGGTGGCAATCAGTTGTGGTGATTAAGTTAATAATCATGTCTATAAAGTAACATTCATAGATTCCAGAGATTAACATGTGAATATCTTTGGAGGCTCCATTCAGTCCCCCACACCCAGCGATTCCCTTTCTAGAAACAAGGTACCAAGAAAAGTTCATCAATGAAGGGATTTCAATATAAATTATGATCTAGCCAAATAAGAGAACATCACGCACCTGTTAAAAAGAATTAAATGGATGGGATGTGTGACTGTATGTATTGATCTAGAAAAATCTCCATGATTGGTGTGAAAGAAGCAATTTGAAAACATTATATAGCATCATTTCATTTTAACTTAACAAAAAGTATAGATTTGAAAACAGAGGCAAAGAGACAGAAAGAGACAGAGATGCTTATTTAAATAAAGGAAAAATCTAGAAAACATTCCTCCCAAACTATTAACAGGGAAGGTAGAATGGGAGAGGGGTTTGTAAATCGGGGGGCTTAAGAAGGGCCCTTATTTTACCTTATATAACTTTTAGTAGTTGATTATAGGCATTATTTACTATTTTTAGTATTCTTCGAATTAAAACACTCTCTCTCCTTTAAGAAAGCCGTTTTCCTTCAGTTGCTTTTCAGTCTGCTACCCTTTAATTGTCTCTTTCCTTACCAAGTTATAAAGATGCCTAGTTGTCGCTCTCATAGAAACTTTGCTATATCTTGTTCTTTCTCCTAGCTACCATGCACGAATTTCTCTCACATTTTCTCTCCTTTTCCCAAGATCTCAAAGTAAGAGCCTACAGATTTTCATAGATGATCTATTTCCCTAACTTCACCATCTTATTGTTCAATTCATTACATACTGGCTACTATGTTAATCTTATGAAATTATTGATCCCCAACTATTTTTCTCCTTGTGGCCAGATTAAGCCTGTCTTCTTGATATCTGCAGTAGTCAACAGCTTTGACCATCCTTTCGTCTAGACCATGTTTTACATGTTTTTGGTAAGGCTACACTTCCTATTTTATCCCATAACTTTCTAATCTTTTTCTGGTTTTTCTATACCTGATCCTACTTTATTCTATTGAAACCAATTTGAATTCGCTCAGTCGTGTCTGACTCTTTGTAACCCTGTGGATTGTAGCCTACCAGGCCCCTCCATCCATGGGATTCTCCAGGCAAGAATACTGGAGTGGGTTACCATTTCCTTCTCTAGGGGATCTTCCCAACCCAGGGATCGAACCCGGGTCTCCCACATTGGAGGAAGACGCTTTAACCTCTGAGCCATAACCTGGACATATTATTAACAGTCAAGACTTTGTCCTCTCTCTTCTTAAATTCTTTATGTTCTTTCTGGGAGTCCTTGTGAATTGTCATGTCTATGCCAAAAAAAAAAAAAAAAAATTCCAATATTGTAAGCCCCAGCTCTTTCTAAAGCCAACTGATTCTTTCCCAGATGCTTGATGAGCACATCAAGCCTCAGGAATAAACTCATGTTACCCCTAAAACCAGCCCCATTCCAGTTGTCCCTTTTTCTATTGACCTCTTAGAAATTCAAAATCACAGTATGTTAGAGTAGACTCTAAAATGATAGACATTTATTCAAAGTTCAACTCATACACTTAAACCCCGTATTACTTCGATTTGCATTAAATCTCTTTAGATTGTAAAACAGAAACAATACCTACTTTGAAAGGTGGTTATGCTTAGTGAGCTGAACTGAATGCTTAGTACAGGCTTCCCTGTTGGCTCAATCGTAAAGAATCTGCCTGCCAAGGGTTAGGCATAAGAGAGGTGGGTTTAATCTGTGGGTCAGGAATCTCCTGGAGAAGGAAATGGCAAACCACTCCAGTATCTTTGCCTGGGAAATCCCATGGACAGAGGAGCCTGGCAGGCTACAGTCCATGGGAGTGCAAAAAATTTGAACACGACTTAGTGACTTAACAATAACAATATGCTCAGTACAGTGCCTGGTCCGTTTCGCTTTTTCTGGCTTCCATTTTCCCTTCCATCAAACACTCAGATACCAAGTCCTATTCTTTCTCTCTCCTCAGTGCCTAGACAATTGCAGTCAACTCTTAACAACGCCATGCCTTCATTCTCTCCCACCAAACACCACTATCCAATGCTCCCTTCCTTAAACACACGAGTCAGTCCAAAACTCGCACTGACTTCCTACTCCCTACAGTAGCCTCATTTTCTCCAACTTTACAAGCTTCACATGTGCAGCACATGCCAACCACTAGTGTCTCGCATTACACTGTATACATTCTCACCCAGGCAATGAGAGGAGAGGAAAATCAGAATCCTTTGGGGCTGGAAGTTGCTATAGACTGAATATTTGTGTTCCCATAATTCATTTGTTGGAAATCCTAACACCCAGTATGATGGTATTTGGGAGTTGGGAACTTTGGGAAGTGGTTAGGTCATGAGAGTTAAGTCCTCATGAATGAGATCAGTGCTCTTATAAAGGAAACCATCCAGAGAG